CCAAGCAAGACTGGTACTTATAACTACTTTACCATTCTACAGTTATTTTAGTCTTACCTCTAGTAAGCATCTGGTTAGCCTATACAGGAACAGGTGATAAAAACAGGAGAGCTGAAAACAAGCATAGCCTTCCCTTCCATCAAGAAAATAAGTTTGTACAACCAGTTTCCACAAAAGCAAGAAAGCTGGGCCTTTATGACTGGCTTACAGACCAGTTTGGCCAATAGAGCAAGGGATCCTGCTAGCAAGTGAAACACTTGATCGTTTCAAAGCCAGCTGAAGCCTGTTTGAGTGAGAGAGAGGGGCAGGATCTATCTGTGCCACTGGCACAACTTTGTGATTAGTTAATGCACAAAGGCTGTTATTGCTCCCTGTAGCAATTTAATATCCTTAGTTCAATCAGTTGCTCATTTTGCTTTGTGAGTACTGTTAGTGTTTTTTAAATTAAAGACACATGGAATAAAGCAAGCAAGCACACCCCACCCCCCCACCACGTACACTCAGAAAACTTTTATTCAAAAGCAGTACTTTAATCAGCAAGTTTTCTTGCTGCCATTGCTTAAAGCGATATAAAACAAACCAGGCCCAAAAATCAAGAGTTGTGAACCTCTAGCAGTTCAGTTTACATTCAGAACCGCAAACTGTCTCATGATGCCCTTCCCAGAGGCGTTCCCAGCTGTGTTTCTCCAGCAACCAGTGTTTCATATTATTTTCTAGATGTACTCAAAGGCAGGGGAGTGCTGTTGTCCAAACCTGGAAGGACAGACTAATGCTATTGAACAAGAGTAATCTTACTACTATTTTGTAAATCTCAGACATAAATGGGTGGATATGGGCTTAATAACATATACACATGCTCCTGCAAAACTGAGGAGCACCAACAGCATTCCCTTTTCTGTGAGTGACCACTAGACAAATTCAATGCTTACTTTTGTGAGAAGGCTGCACAGACATTTTCCCCCACACCTTCTAAACAGGATCAGTAGGATGATATATGTGCTTTTACAGACAAGGAAGGACTTACATTCTGGTCAGGTTAACATGCCATATCTGGGAGGGGAGAAAAAAAAAGATTTGTAGAAGTGGTTAATTCCTCAAAAATAATAATGTTCATGTATGCAAGGTAACAGAAACACTATCTTAGGTGAACAGCAGCTTCCTTAGTTTACAGGGCTCTTGTTCAGCAATTGAAGGCTACTATTTTAATGGGTCAGCTGAAATACCATACTTGTATTTTAATAGCAGTTATAGATTATTTTCCTGTGTTAAGATCTATAACAAAGATAAAGCACAAGACATCATTTTCACCAATCTCAAACTCAGGACAACATAATGCAATGGAAGCTTCAAGCCTTTCCAAAATTTTCCAACAACAGCTGCATATTGAAATGGTAACAATAAAAGACAACACTTCCAACTGTAGCAAGAGCAACTTCCACGGAATTTGAGATAACAGTGATAAGCTGACAGATTCAGCTTAGTCTTTCAAGAGGGGCACTGAGTTGCCAGTTCCACAAAAGTAGCCTTAAAAACACCTGAACTGTAATAATTTCCTTGAAACCAGTTACATGTCCTTGCTGAACCCATTCTATAATTGTTGAAATACAGATTTCTCTTCAGTTCAGCACAGCTGCAAGTTTGTTTTCATTCACCAAAGTAAATTCAGTGCTCAGAGAAGACAGCTCCAAGTCTTCCATGCTTCACTTTGAAGTCTTATGTCAGGTATGTGGCCATAAGGAGATGCCCACACCATAGGGCAGAGGGACTGTGCCTGCTCTGTGAGATAAGAGCTCAGTAGACTCACACGGGGATAACAGCAAGGTCCGAGCTGGAAGTACAGCATGTAGTTATGACAGTATGCCCACGGCACCTGGGGGTATCACCTGAGATTAGATCTTCCCTGCACTAAATGCAGGCAAGAGAGAATTCATGCTACTAAGAGAAGGTAATACAAACATGCAAAGTAGGGTATCAGGGAAGTAAGTATTCCTGTAGCTATTTTACAGAGGATTAACTGAAGCACTTTAATGAATTTGCTCAAAAAATTGACAAGGAAAGCCTACAGCAGAGGGGTAGAAGCCAACTCTCCTGCATCCTAATCCAGTGCACTCTTTACAGGCTCACCCTTCATACTCCTAAAAGTGGTTCGATTGCTGGCTGAGGACAGAAGCCAGTGATGGCCACTGACTGAGCTCAACTTAGCAAGAGAAAATCCATAATTAGTTCATCCTGGAAGTGATCAAAAGAGAGAGAAGCAGCAGTCCTTAAATGATGCCAGCATTTCAAATCCACATATTTATAAAACAATCTTTTTAGCTAATGATCACCCAACAACCTCGTCCAAATTCTCTCCACAGATAGCAGAGCATCCCCAACCCACTTGGACAGGAAAGCCACCAGACTTGGCGACTGGCCGTCCTAAGCAGCACAGCCCACTGAATGGCTCAAAGGGAGCCACTACCTTGGAGGGTAGATCTTGTCCCCATACTGCTGTCTCCCTTGGATGGAGCCACACTCTTTGGTCTGCACAGCAGCCCACGGGGACCACCCGGGACACCTGCTCCCAGGGCTGTAAGGGTCTTCATACTCCACGCAGTAACAAGAGAGCATCTCTCCAAATGGGTACCATTAAGGAACAGGTTATGTCCCACGAACAGGAGACCCCAGCACAATTATCTATCTAACAGTAGTATGCTAAAAACTCGGTGTGGTAGCTTTCAGTATTGCTGTATTTCCATGGAGGCAGCTTGAATGAAATTTAAGCGCACCAGCTGATAATCTTAAAACCACACAGAGAAGCATAATCACTGCACATGGCAAGTAAGCACACTTCTGTCACTGTGCTTCTTATAAAGAACCTCCAAATCACTGCAGCACTAAGGAAACCTACTCATTCCTACATACCAGTTTTGCAAACCCACCCATACTATTTTTCTTACTCCATGGTCTCAAACTGAATAATATTTCAAAAGCTATTAATCAGCTTTCATTACCTCTAAATTGCTTTTTGCTTACTTGCAATTAAAGACTAATATCCAAAGAGTTAGAAATTTAAAAGGTAATTAACCATAATGAGTAACTGTTCTAAAATATGATCAACTGCTGGATATCAACAGAAGTCTTAGTTTTTCCCAATAAACTTCTTTTTTCCATACCAGCTCAAAAATGAAGATTTATTTAGCAGATGTTGAACATTCACCAGATAATACTATATGTGCTTATTCCTTCTCTGGAAGGCAGTTAGCTATAGACAAAAATATCTGCAAACTAGCAATTACTGTGGATTCAGAAGGTTTTAAGGTGACACTGACATGACAAAAGATCTATTTTTATGCATGTAAAGTATATTTCAAGTTCAGAGGGAGGAACACAGAGAGCACATGCATGCTGTAATCAGCTCATGTACAGGACAAGATTCTGCTCAGCATTTGGAAATATCACCATGTAAAATACGTTTCCTTTCCTTGTTCTTCCATACAATTAAATACTGGTCAAGTAATGCTAAAAACCTTTTTGAGCAGGTCAATAGCATATTAAGCACTGGTCAGGTTAGAATATCGAACCAAATTAGTGAGCTGGGTCCAAGGTTATAAACAGTATATGAGATTCTTTTTCAGCCACTCCAGCATAATATCAAAAAGCTTTAGTTATATTAATGAGATCCATTTTTCCTGAGAAAAATTATTCACTTATTTCCCTAATCGAATGCAACACAAGTGCAACACACTCACTACACTCCAAAATTCGTCAGAGAAAACCTCACTTAGGGGTTCATCAGGTAGGTCTTACACACACAAGAAATGGCAGGTCAAAACTCACAAGAGGATGAAATCTGTTACTCTTACTGAGAGTTACAAGCTCTGGTCTAAAAAGCTGGAAACACCTACTTCGGCTGCAGTCCACAGAGTGCTCAGAGACCCTTCTTGATAAGAAAGTAGGGTGCATATCCGCAGAACATAACCGAGAATTTATTTCATCAGTATTTCCCTGCTTTTTGCTTCCTGCCGAGCCATTAGAGGAGTTATATTGTTTCCATAGAGAGAGTCATTAGCAGAACAACTAACATGCAAGTTTTCTGCAGTTTTCTTCGGCAGCAACCACAGAACAGCAAAACTTGAGAAAACGTAATGATGTTCTCAAGATTCTAATCTCTGTATAATATTTCAGTTAGACAATAAGTCAACCATTTGAAGCTTTAAAATATATTCAGCTGTTTCATTTCGGTTTAGAGCTGGGTAAGAGGAAGCCCTAAAACGGAACTTTCAACATGCAATTTTTTCTCCTCCTGTTTGTAGTGCAATGTTTCACATTTCTGTTTTCTCTTGAAAACTATGTCCCAGTTTACAAAGCCCATGCTTATCTATACACAAGGAAGGACTCACATACTGATGGGGAAAAGGGAGTTTATATAGAGAAAAGAAGCATTATGCCTGCTTCCTCTGGATTAAAGTTTTAAACAGTCATTACATCACTTAGTGGAGCAGACAGTGCTAGCCTAAAAGCAGTATTGCTACTTACTTTAGGATGAGATTGCCTACGTTTAACCAGTTTCAAGACTCCACAACAATCCATTCAGAGTAAGGATTTAGCAGGAGGCCTGACTCTGCACCCCAGGGGCCGCACTGATGCCGCTGCCCTGCTCGAGGAACAAGGCTGGTTCCCCCGGGCAGCGAGGGGCAGCACCCCGCAAGGCCGTGCCATCTCACAGAGCGCTCCTCTCCCCTGCCATGCAAACATGCCCTTCCCAACAGCATGACCAAGGAGAAAGAGGAGGCCCCTATTCTGGAGGCAGAGCATCCCACATAGTGCTAGCCAGGAAAATCTGCCTGGAGTCAGAACCATTTCTAATGATAAGTCTGAGCTTCTTGTAAGTTTGAGGCCCATGGTCTTTTAAGATGACAAAAATCAAGACTTCCTGGAGACTAAGGATGCACTTTCTGAATGTTTTTACTTTTCCAACAGGTAACTGCCACTGGTAAACATCACCTTTAAAAGGGAACATGGATTTAATAAACTCAACTGAACAAAATGGTACATCAGAAGAACTATTCAAATGGGTGACATCCAAGATTCTTATTTCCATTACCCTGTCTGTGCTTGCACTAATGACAACAGCCATCAATTCTCTTGTGATGACTGCAATAATTGTGACAAGAAAGCTCCACCACCCCGCCAACTATCTAATCTGCTCTCTTGCAGTGACTGATTTCCTTGTGGCCGTCCTAGTGATGCCCTTCAGCATTGTCTACATTGTAAAGGAGACCTGGATCATGGGGCAAGTGGTGTGTGACATTTGGCTGAGCGTGGACATCACGTGTTGCACATGTTCCATCTTACATCTCTCTGCCATTGCTTTGGACCGGTACAGAGCAATCACGGATGCTGTGGAATATGCACGGAAAAGGACACCTAAGCATGCTGGCATCATGATTGCAGTGGTATGGATCATATCCATTTTTATCTCTATGCCACCTTTGTTTTGGCGGCACCAGACGACCAGCAGAGATGACGAATGCATCATTAAACACGAACACATTGTTTTCACCATTTACTCCACATTTGGCGCCTTCTATATCCCACTGGCCTTGATTCTGATCCTTTATTACAAGATATACAAGGCAGCAAAGACATTTCACAGAAGAAGCGTCAGCCGGATTGTAAGGGAGGAGGTAAATGGACAAGTCCTTTTGGACACAGGTGAAAGAAGCACCAAATCGGCTTCAATGCCCAGCACAGCGGAGAAGACATCAGATCCCCTAGTGAACTCCGATAAAATCAGTATCAGCCTACGAAGCCCCAGGTCTGAATCTAAGCATGAGAAGTCCTGGAAAAAACAGAGGATCTCTAGCACAAGAGAGCGAAAGGCAGCAACTACATTGGGTCTGATCTTGGGGGCATTTGTGATCTGCTGGCTCCCTTTTTTTGTAAAAGAAGTAGTTGTTAATACCTGTGAAAGATGTCACATCTCGGAAGACATGTCTAATTTCCTAGCATGGCTGGGATATATAAATTCCCTTATTAACCCTCTAATCTACACAATCTTTAATGAAGATTTCAAGAAAGCCTTCCAGAAGCTTGTGCGGTGTAGGCAATATCTTTAAGAGCATTTGTTCATATAAGGAGAACATACGCATTGTTTTTTAACCTGTATACATTTATATAACTGAAATGGCATTTGTTGTATTTAAGGAAAAGCACCAAGACTCTGCATTTACTTTATGACTTTTTTGTATCACTAGTACTGGGAGTGTAAATTGCCCGTGTTTTAAAGAGATGGATCATCTGGGATCAGTTTTTCTCTGGAAAAAAGAGGTAGCATATTGTGGCTCTGATCCAACTGGGATTTGCACAGCCACCTAGCTTGAAGCATAAGGTGTTACCTTAAATATGAAGGAAATATACATTTGAAGTAGACAAAGAAACAAATTTTTAAAAAAGTAATCCTCGATCATCAAAGAAATTTTAAGTAAAACAATACACAGGTTTTAACTCCTAATCACAAATAAGAAGACAGAAAGTACACCTTGGAATTAAGACATTATTTTATTAGCTTGGCACAGGCCTGCAGCATACAGCCAAGCCATTCCCAGTGACGGGTAGTAGCTTTAAACTTATCTAGCACCATCCTACGTTGATTAGCTGAGTGCCTTCTCCCGCAGATGAAGGACTTGCCTCTGTTACGCCCTTGCAGCACCCCAGCAGCAGGCGAAGTGCTTTCATGGGTTACCAGTTTCATAGTAAGCAGTGTTATGAGCCCTCTGACATTGCACTCCCACAACCGATGTGGGCACAGCCCCAAGGGAAACAGCCAGACGGCTGGGGCACCGCCGGTGAGCTGGGATCACATAGTGCCTGGTGCTCTGAGACACCGCTTCAGGAAAGACTAGGGAGGGTAAGCTCATAAAGAGCTGCTGGTCCTCCTTATGGAGATGTTAGAAGGGAGAGAAGCATGAGACACTCCTTTCTTCATAACCTCATCCCTACCTCACACACCTGGCCAGGCATGGCCCTTGTGACTTCCAGCACCAAATCTTGCCACACATTTTATGCCAGGTCCCCAGAGCATTGCTGATGGTGGGTGGCTTAGCAAGGTTTTCTTGAGGGCCACCTAATGAACAACTCAGACTGACAGCTCTGGCTCAGCATGTTCAGCCCTCCACCCCCAGAAGCCCAATGTCCCCCATGTCTCTTCTCGACTGCCTCAAGCACCCTCTTTCCAAGCATATGAGAAAGCAGAGACCGACCATGGTGCTGGCAGTGTGGGTCTCTGGAAAAGCTGTGCAGCATCTTCCCCAGTAAGGGCAGGGGCAGAGACCTGTGTGCAGTGCACACCTGGACAGGGGATTCTTTGGGATGGTCACTGGCTGGCACCTCTAAACCCCTCCTTCCCCCAGCATATCCACTCCATGTCCCCAGTCCCAGCAGAGCTAAAAGGACCTTGTAGGCACTGCAGCCTGCCCTGGCCAGCTGGTTCAATGAAAGATAATCACAATGAATAAATGCCTTTGTGGGCTGCCTTGTAAGGCCTCAAAGATGGCACCTTGGCCAATCTTGATTTACATGTGCTAGATGCCAAGCCCCAGCGCTAAGGCGTGCAAGAACAGCCCTTCCCTCAAAACCAGCAGTGCAAGTTTGCTGACAGCTAAGGGTACTAACAGAGCAGTGGGCATTTCCCCCTGAGTGCAGATCAGTCGCTAGGAGCCAGATCTGAACCCAAGCAATGGGTTTTGCACTTTTCAGAACAAACAGATTCAGGCTGTGTCACTAAGACCCCGGCTTTGAATTAATTGCCAGCCATTCCATGCTGTCTAGCAGGAACAGGGACTTGCGGCTCCTTATAGGAGCTACAAACCACGCTGCCAGCAGCAGCAGTCTCCTGCAAAGGTGCTCTGATTTGGCACATGGGCCAGCAGCTTAGGGACATCACAGAGAAGCTCAGACATGAGACCACTATATACACCCTAAGTTTGGGAAAGGTATCGCCGGTCTCTGCAGTTGTTCTTCCAAGAGACTCTCAGCAGTTTGCATTAGGCAAGAAAATCCAAAAAGAAGCCATCACTGTCGTTTCTCTCTCCCCCTCTCCCTCCACTGTATTACAAACTCTAGAGTTTAATAATTTTTGTATTTTGCCCACTAGCTACCAGCTGCCCCAACAGCTATCAGAGGTGTTTCTTGCAAGATGACGAGATTTGAAACCTGAGATATTGAACTAATTTGTTTCTGTCACTTGCAACTTACTGTATTCTGCTTTTACATCAAGTTCCAAACAAGATGCTATTCAGAAGTACTAGAAACAGTGTGTTTGCTTTACTGTTAATTTTGACCAAGCCAGGAATCTAACGGGAAGCTTACTTGTCATGCCGTGTAGCTCTAGCACAGCGGTAGCACAGCTAAAGTTTGAAGATACTAGGATGCGATGGAATGGAATTTGGCTCGTGCTCAGTGCAAGCTAGCGCACTTTACTACCATTGCAGTCAGAGCACAGCCTCTGCAGCCCCTGTGACCTTGGCAATGGCTGCATTATGCTGAAAAAAAAAAAAAACCTGCTTTAAACATCAGCTGTGCTCTACTGTCTCCAGATAGAGCTATGGAATTCAGCTTTCTAAAAGGATTAGCAGATTAGCAGAAGGCAGCAAAGAAAACCCCCACTGAAACATTTGAAATTGAAGACCTCTGTTTCCCACTTTTCCTGAGTACTGAGTCATAACATTGGATATCTAGGGGTAGGACTTCCTCTCTCCCTGCTTCTCCCTTTATGACTGCTGGAGGGTAAAGTATAGCGTTTATCCTCTTACAGATAAGAAGTTTGACAATATCTTGTGAAACCAAATTGGAAGAAAAAATAGGAGTCACTTTTGAGGAGAAAAGATACTTAAAATACTCATATTTAAATAATAATGGACACAGATCAAAGAATGGAACAATATGTAAACAGAAAATAGCTGTCATTTATGCACTGTTAACAGTATTATACCCTGAATCTCATTAAGCTGCTAAACATTTCTCAAGATGCAGGGTGGTTTCTTTTGTATCATTTTCACTGAGCTGTATCTGCTCACCCTTCAACACACCGGTGGTGGAAGATGCAGCTACAAGAAATGTAAGCAAAGGAGTGGGTAGTTATCCTATTAAAAGCACTTGCGGCTTGTGAACTATCATTTCTTGGTGTCTGACTGCAACTCGTCACTCATTCTCTAACAAAATCCACTGTGCCCAACACTTTATCACACAACCCCACACAGTATCATTTCATCTCTAGCATTTATCCACACATGTGATGTGTTAAGAAAAAACATGAGTTTCTCTTTCAAAATGCATAAAGGTTAAGATTTCTGTAGGATGCTGCTTTCCCCTCCCCATGAAATATACAGGCATCCACCGAAGCTTAGCACCGGATTTGAGGCGCAAGATTTAACGCACTGGAGCTAAGATTTTTTGCAAGTAGCTCTGTGTCCTGTGAGAGTTCCGTCTCAGCAAACAGAAAAAATTACATCTGGTTTCCTATCTCCATCAGAAGATACTGTGTGTGTGTGTGTGTATTGCAGGGAAAGGGTTTACATCTGCTCTAGGGTTTGCACAAAGCTTCCAGGATCCCTCTCCCTGCCGCAGCTGCCCCCCCTATTGCTGTTTGCCTAGCACCCATCCACCCGTCAGTTTAGACTTCTTCTAACACCCAGAGAACTGGATTTGCAGCAGCTGACCTGCTCCCACTTCAGGTTTCACAGAGAATGATTCCTGAAGTAGCTGTGAACACTATATCCAGTTCAGGTGGATGGTTTTTGCTAACAGCAAGCAGTTAAATACACTTCATTATCCTGTACTCATTTCTTTGCCTTTCCTCTCTGCCAGATGGTTTATTGGTGTCCTTTCTTCTTGAGGATGGCATATCCCTACAAAGGGCTTGGGGATACGAATGTACTTTTGTTTTAGTGATGCAGCCACATTTGTTAACACATGACTGTACCACCCAGAAACACCCACCTCATCCAAATGCGCTTTTGGCAGTCACTGTCTTCAGCTGGTGCCTAATTGTTCTTGGTGCTAGGGAGGTACATGGAAATAACTATGTGCCAAATTATTTTCTCCAGTAGTTACAAACTCAGCACATTATTTCTAGGCAAGTACACATTACTATTTGGCCTTTGCATTTCAGATTGCCTTGCAGAAGGGAAACAGAAAATCACCACTGTAGCGGTGGAAGGAAGGGCTTTTTTGAACTCAAGACACCAAAGAGTAAATGCTGCAAGAAAAGTGAGAGGAAACCCTTGTAGCAGCCCTGTAAGGATTAAGTATAAACCTAACACTGTGTCTTATCTAGAAACAAGAGCTGCACCAGTGCAGGGGCAGCTGTTCCCAGATGGATTGCTAATGGGTCAGCAGTCGTCTACTGGTCACAGCAGGCCCCCACAAGCACTCCAGCACCCAAGTGAGCAGTAAATGGTGTCTGCTGGTGGCTCTCATACTTCTCCTTCAAAAAGTGCTGCTGCACTACAGAGGCAGTACTATCAATAGCAGAACTGCTAAAAATTACCAGCAAAATGTTGGTATCTCCTCCCCTGCAAAATCCTGAAATGAATTAAACAGGCTATTTTTCTCAGGATTTTTCATTTGTCATTCTGGGTCAATTCTCGTCTTTTGTTCCTCAACCAGGAAGGCTAAATCTCTAAAAGAAACATAAACATTTCTTTGATCTGCTGTTTCTATCCTTCATTTCGTACCTCAAGAAATGAAAGCCTTGATGATATCGAGCTTGGCTAAAAAGAAAGATTACAGAAAACAGAACAAACAGAAGTCAGCAGCATTGGCGTAAATGGTCAAGGTTACCAACTGAATTCAAAACAGCATTTCTGGTGTCAAATCCCTCACTCATAACAGACACCAATGACCAAAAGCAACCTTATACCCTCAGAAACTTACTAAACTATGAGTTTCCTAAATTTCAGTTGTTTACTTCATGTTCAAGTGAGCTACTTCTTAAGTAAGAACTTTGCAATTCAGGAAAACTTCAGAGATAAATATTTTTAGGCAAGGAAAAAGTACTGTGTTTCATTAGTCAAACTGTATTAGTACAATTACACATTAAAAATCTTGGTTGAGGCAG